ATATATTATATATATAATATATATATAATATATATAATATATATATTATATATATTATATATATAATATATATATTATATATATATAATATATATAATATATATATTATATATATAATATATATAATATATATAATATATATATATAATATATATAATATATATTAAATATATATACAATATATATTAAATATATATATAAAATAAATATATATTATATATATTATATATATATATATATTTTAGTAGAGACGGGAATATATATATATATATATTCCAGAATACATATATATATAAATATTTATATATATTCCAGTAGTACAAACCTGACTCATTGAAAACGTCCGGCACCAAGTTAACTGTATCACACACCTTTTCTGATTAGAAAAGGACAATGAATACACACTCCTTTGCTTATTATAATAGTTGTGCGGCAAAGATAGGACACTCCTATCTCCGGCTGCTGAAAAAAGAAATGCAAAAACTGCAGAATTTCTAACCTACGGAGTGAATGCGTTAACAAGAACATAGAATTAAGAAATAATTTCCCTTAGATGAGAACATTAAAATCTGCGAAATCCTCAAGGGACTGAAACTGCCCTTGTGGAAAAAATGCTGCGCATCGCCCCCGCCAGTTAAAAACAAAACAAAACAACAAAAGCCAAACTCCTTCCCGTTCACCTTTAGCCCACGCCGTGTGGTTCTTGGAGCCAATAAGCGCCGGATGGCCCAGAGCCCCGCCCTCCTCCTGGCCAAAGCGGTGACAGGGTCTAAAATAGCTCTTTGAGCAGCAGGTGACGGAGCCCCGCCCCCTTCCTCCCCGCGCACCAATAGGTACCAGGCCTGAAGAGGACAAGCCAAGAACGAAAAGCCCCACCCACTCAGGAGTCGCAACCTAGAACCCAGTGTTTTGTATCAGATCCAACTCGGAGAAAATCCCACCTCTATGCTTCTTAATCCTTCCAATGGTGTGGAAGTTTTTCTAACAGCGAAACTAGTTAGGGGATCCAATGGGAAAAGAATGTTCACAAGGACTGGAAGACGAAGCCAATGGAATGGAAAATTGTTCTGGCCTTGGTAAAAGCAGCCAATGGGATGAAAAGAGCCCGCCTCCAGAGTGGCTGCAGAGCCAATGGGATGAATTGTGCCCAAGGATGCGCTCCAATGGGGTGGCAGGGCTCGCCGGTCGCCACTACCCAGCTTCCCAGCTCCCCGACTGCCCGCCCCCGGCCGGCCGCGGAGCGGAGTGCTGACCAGGGTGAGAGGCTCCCCGCGGCTCCGGGAAGATGGCGGCAGCCGTGGTGCTGGCCGCTGGGTTGCGCGCGGCGCGCAGAGCCGTAGCGGCCGCGGGAGCACGCGGGGCGCAGGTGAGAAGTGGCGCGGGGGCGAGTAGGGAGTCCTGCGGGCTCTTAACGCCATCCAGTGCCTGGGACTCCCGAAGGTGCGCAGAGCTCCCGCCTGTGGCCGCAGTCTGCCCCTCCGAGGCACAAGCTTCGGGGCTGTGCGGTGAGGTCGGACTGGTGGCTCCAGAGAGCAAGCTAGCGATGACCCCTGCCCTGCGCAGGCCCAGGCGCCGAGTTCGGGACAGGGTCACTGCAGCGGCTGCCGCCTTCTTTGGCCTCCCTGCCTGCAACCCAGCTGGCCCCGTGCCCCCTGCAGGAAATGAGCTTTTTCTTCTTGGAGCCAGTGCTCTGCCCTGCTCAGGCCTCTGGCCTCCTAAGAGCATTAGTGTTAATCTCTCTTCTCCACTTGCCAGAAGCGGCTCGAGAGTCAGAGAATTCATCCCGTCCCATTCTCCTCCAACGTGATGCATTGACTTCAGCCTTCTCTGAATCCCTGGGAAACTGGGACTTCCCTACCTGCAGTCCCCTGGGGCTGGAGGAGCAGAAGTCACTTAGCTGAGCTCTTACCTTCACTCACTGAAGGGACAAGAGTTAAAACGCACAGTCATATGTGACACCCAGATGAGGGGTCAACTAGTGTCAAACAGGGCAACTGCATCAAAACCTAAATAATATAGGTGACAAGGCTTAAAGATCAGAAAACAAGTAACAGAAATAAGTGGAAATGTACCAACAAGATGAGAGTGGAAAGAGGTTCAAGCCACCCTTTATTTTATATTAGAAGCTGAGAAGGGATTTATCTGAGGTCACTCAGTGGTATGGTAAGATAGGAACTGACACCAAAATCCCCAGTCTTTCATTGTGGATCCTTTCCCTGAATAGTGCTATATGTCATAGACATGTGAGCAGCAATCAATTGCACTGCCGAATCCTGGGTAGTAATAAGACTGCTTGTCATCTTACCAGGCCCAGCACCATCTGTCCCTATGCTTTGCTGCTGGTGCTCTGAAATTCAGGAACTTTTCTCCTGGGTGGGAGCCATGAATAGGTTCTTAGAATGAAGTTAACAACTATCAGAGCCCAACTTCTGTCAGCTCTGAATATATGGGAGAGGTGTTGCCAACTCTCTCCTTTGAATATGGTTGATCCACCTTCAGGTCCGAGGAGCTGCAGGTGTGACTGATGGGAATGAAGTGGCCAAGGCCCAGCAGGCAACTCCTGGGGGAGCAGCCCCAACCATCTTCTCCCGGATCCTGGACAGGAGCCTCCCAGCTGACATTCTCTATGAGGATCAGCAGGTGGGGTGCCCTTAGGCCCCATCCCCTTAAGAATAGTATAGATACCTTCCAGCCTGTTGAAGTAATGTGGCCTCTGGCCTGTCACTGCTCCCAGTGTCTTGTGTTCCGTGATGTGGCCCCTCAGGCTCCTGTGCACTTCCTGGTCATTCCCAAGAAGCCCATTCCTCGGATTAGCCAGGCTGAAGAAGACGACCAGCAGGTGGGAAGAACAGGGCCAGGGTTTGACTGGGAGGAGCCCTGGACCCAACTAGAGGTCTTGCTTCCTATAAATAAAACCACCTATGTCCCTCCACTCTCCCTATAGCTTCTAGGACACCTACTCCTTGTGGCCAAGAAGATAGCAAAGGCTGAGGGCCTGGGAGATGGATACCGACTTGGTGAGTGACTTTTGGCCCTTGGTTCCTCACCTATGAATTCTCATTCCTACCCCTCAGTATGATCTTCATTCTTTGACCTCTGCCATGATCCTGACTCCTAACCGCAAGGTCAATTTCAGTGATCAACGATGGGAAGCTGGGTGCACAATCTGTGTATCACCTGCATATTCATGTACTTGGGGGCCGGCAGCTCCAGTGGCCTCCAGGTTGAACCTGCCAACTGACCAAAGGACCCGAGACACTGGATGCTTGGATGGAAAGGGAAAAAGGGACCTTGTGATGCTAATAAAACTATTCTCCCTTAATTATGCTTTCCTGTCTTAAATATATAAAGTTTAATACCACAAAGGGGAAAGAAAACTGATTCATGGCTATGATGCCCTTTGACTGGTCTGAGCAGAAGACACTGAGGAGGTCCATAAAGGTTGCCTGCAGATATGTGAGTCTTCTTGACAAGTGGTCCACCC